GAGACTTAAACAGACTGCAAAGGTGTTAAAAATAGAAGTCAAGTTGCTATTGGAGATACATGGCAAATTCTCCACTTGCAAATCTCTAATTATAATATGTCAAGAGTAAAATACCTTGTCAGGAGCAATAGCTGGGCGAACACAGCAATGGCCCTGTCAGCACTGAGATCCATGAAGTGTTTAGAAGCCTACATGAAATAGAAACTCAGCAGAAAATGTCCTGCAGGGAGTCATTTTGGCCCTGGGGATGGTAGAAATGACCTGGTAAGGTTGCTTTGCCTGTGCTTTACTTAGCTCTGGCTGGGAGCTGGGGGTTGCATGTTGCTTTCCTTTCCAGAGTCTGTACTTTCTGTTAAGTCATGTGCATATATTAGATGTTCTTCGAGGCCACCAGATGGGTGGATGTTTTCTCTTATGCCAAACCACTCAGTTTCTTCAAGAAAGCATGGGCTCTACAATGTCCTTAAAATGACATTAAGCACCGTGGATATACGTCAAAGGACAAAGTTATTCCAGGAGTAACAAAAGCCTATGGGAAATGACTTAGCTGGTCCCCCAACACTAACCTTTTCTTTTTTTTTTTTTCAGCCTTTGGAGCATGCTAAGCACGTGTTCTACCACTGAGCTACATTCTGTGTTCAGTGGTAACATTTTGTTAATATACAGGCATATACCCCCACATACACGTGCACGCACACACTTGTATCCAGCATTGAGGAAATCATCATTTTGACCCATTTCCAGGTTTAACTCCTTCCATATGAAATGTAGAACTTGAGGTACAGAGAAAACAAACTCAGTTAAAGACATGGGAGGGTGGAAACAACTTTAAGTAAACTCGTCATAGGCAAGGTTAGATCAGAAAAGTTTGATTTAAAACCCAGCAACCTCTAGGTTGAGGGAGAGACCTGCCTAAAGCAAATAGGACAGAGAATGATAGAAAAGGACATTTGATAACCTCTGCTGGCCTCTGCACAGGCATATACCCCCCCACACGTGCACATACACACTTGTACAAAGTAAGTCATGGGTAAAGTAGGCATTTTCCCTTTTGGCAAGAGAGAGAAAACTATACTAATAATTTTATCAGAAAAACCATACTATCTTTTCTGGTTACTGGCTTCCCTAATACCCCTGAAGAATCTAAGTCCTCAAAACCCAAAGGCTTCCATCTATAATAGCATCTTCCTTCTACTGCTACCCCCACCCCCAGCAATGTGCATCACTTAACTACAGCCAGAGATGACAAAGCAACCAACTTCCAGTCTTCCCCCGGAATTCGCTTTCTCCAAACTCAGAAAGTCTCTGTTCTTTAAATGCTCTAGAAATTGTCAGGAGCATATTCCTAATGTGTTTGTCCTAATTCAGAATCATTCCCTTATTTCTAAATACGATTCCTCATTCTCTGTCAGTAGATGATGTCCCTTCCATGGCTGAAAAATGGAAGTCATACAGAGTGTGTTCCTCACATTCTCCCTTGGTGTCCAAGTTTCTCTGTATCCTCACACACTTACTTTTGCTTTTCTTCTGTTTCAAAATTGATGTGCTTATCAATGTTGACATCAGTTTTATTTTCAGTGATTCAACATGGAGAACAACCCAAATGCCTGTGTATAAGTCAATGGAGAAACAAACTGTGGTATATCCATGCAATGAAACAGTATTCAACAATGCAAAGAATGAGTCACTTAAACATGCAACTATGTGGATAAAGCTAAAGATGAGCATGCTAAATAGAAAACAGGAACAAGGCGCCAAAAATGCTGTTTCCTTGATATAACGTGAGAATAACCGCAAACTAAGCTTAGAGCAGAAGGAGCAGGTCAGTTGGATGCCTAGGAATGGGGAGATAATAAAGGTGCGGAGCAAAGCGTGGCAGATGATGGATGTGTTCATTACGTCAACAGTGGTAAAGTTTCATGCATACGTGCATCTACACCTACTGATTCGAGGATACATTTTTCAAGATGCACACATATTGTATAGCAATTATATTTCATAAAGCTGTGAAGACATTAAAGGTCTCCTCTTTCCTGTTTTACCGACAGGGGTAAATTCTGTGATCGGAATACCTGTCATCCTATCCCATTTCTCTCTCTTTAAAGCAGCTTATCACTTTCTTTTCTGTACCAGCCTTCTCTGTATCTTGTCTCCTGCCCCTCTGTGCCCCTGATAGCTGGCGGCTTGGCATACGCTAGTGAACCCAAATCAGTCAGCGTACAAGCTGCTTTCTAACTTCTTTCACCTCTGCTGCTATCTTTTCTTTCTCCCCATCTCCACAGCTGGAGAAACCCAAAGCTCCCTCCTCCAACGCCTCCCATGTAGTCCTTGACTCTGATCCTCCCAGCATCTCTTTCTACTTCTACATCCTCTTCAGTTCAAAATCCCTGCCCCTCCTAGTGTCTCTCTCCATCACTGTACCAAAACTGCATCTTCCTAGGCCAGCCATAATATACTGACCATACTGCCAGGCCAACAATGTCCTCAATCCAGGATCCAGGCTACCTTACCTCAAGCTCCACTGGTTCAACTTACAATGTGATATCCCATTTATGTCATTCAGTAGCTCTTCTTATTCCAAACCCCAGCTTCTCAGAGTCAGCTTAATACATCATGTCTAATTCAACACTTTTTAAGTTCAAACATAACCTACTCAGGTCCTATGGCTGTGTATCTTGGTCCCTTTGAACTGCTTGCTGAGCATTATTTTTGAATGTATACACCACAGGTTGCTTCTTTATTTACCTATGTGTATGTATCTGTGTTGTTTTCCATGTTGGTTGGAATACCTGGTTGTAAATACCACAACAAACAACACCTGCTAAACTAGAAAACCAATCTAGTGAGCCCATCCCTAATGCACACCAATCAAATACCAGAAGGCAACAGTAGCCCTGTTCTCTATAAGTGAAAACAGAAGCACTCCAAAGGACCTTCTACAGATAGATACATCGCTACCATGTTGCCTGTGTACCCAGTGCTGTTTCAGCATTAATGAACCCTGGCAACATTAGACCCTGTCAAAGCAGCCAGACAGAGAAGGCTGTAGAGGTAAGACTCTGATCTTGTGATATGCCTATAAGATGCAAAGTCATACACATAGAAAGCAGAAGGGTGGCAACCAGTCCACTGGGGAAAGGGAGAACTGGCAGAGCAGGGGGAGAATGGAATTTACTTCTGGGAGATGAAAATGTTCGGAAGCCAGATGGTGCTGATGGCTGCAGTCACTGTGAGTTTCCTAAATGCCTCGGAACCAGGTACATTAGGTGGTCAGTTTTATGTGACAAGAACATCTATCCAAAGCAAAAAAAAAAAAAAAAATGGGGAGGGAAGGAGGCAGTAGAAAATTTCAGTGTATGCTACTTTGACTATATCCAAAACCGGCCCCCAGATAGATAAAGAGCTAAGTAGCAAAAATTACCCAGCGATTTCTTAGATTTCACAAAATGTATCATGTGTCCAACACATAGACTTTATCAGAACTTGGACTTTCAAGGCCTTGAGAGTAGAAGAGCCAGCATTGTCTTATACTTACAACATGCCCCATGCTAGATGCCTTGTAAGCCCAAGTCTCTGAAGAATTCTGCAGAAAAAGCTTTCCTGAGTGTGTACCGCATGAATTTATGGATGTTTAATTATTGTAGGTGGGTCACAGGTCAGCACTGCTAATTTTAATGTAATTATTTTTGCACAGCGTCATCTTTGATTACTGGCCCACTATACTAGATTTGCTTACAGAGGTGATAAAGTCTTAGTTGTCTGTTTGCTTGCTTATTTCTAATCCACTGAATCCATTAACATTTATTCTTTTTCTGCTTGTGTCCACTAATATTAAGGTCCAGCACAGTTCTGCTCAATCAACACACTTTCACACCGGCCCCTTTCTTATGTACTAGCACAATAAAAATCCAGATAGTACAGCTGGGGTTATAGCTGATTTGGTAGAGTGCTTGCCTAGTATGCATGAGGGCCTGGGTTCCAACCTCAGTACTAGGCAACCTGGGCATGGGGGCCTGTATCTGTGATTGCCCACACCTGTGAGGCAGGAAGATCAGGAGCTCAAGGTCATCCCTGGCTATATAGAGAGTTTGAGCTTAGCCTGGGCTCATTGTGAGAAGGGGCAGGGGAGAGAAAGACAGAGAGAAAGAAAAGAAAGGAAGGAAGGAAGGAAGGAAGGAAGGAAGGAAGGAAGGAAGGAAGGAGAAATAAGGAAGGGAAGGAAAGAAAGAAACCAGCTAGTGACACATGGATATGATATAGATGAGTCTCCACCTCATTCTCCCAAATCAAGAGGCCTGACATGGAAATGGGAAGAAATTTCGTTTTAAGGGTTATAAAAATGTTACAGAATCAGAGGCAGGTAGATCTCTGTGAGTTCAAGGCCAGCCTGGTCTACATAGTGAGTTCCAGGACAGCTGGGGCTACAGGGAGACCCTGTCTCAAAAAGACCAAAAAAAAAAAAAAAAAAAAGTTACAGAATCAATTTGGGCAATTTGGGCAATAGTTTCACAACTGGGTAAGTGATCTGGAAACTCATTAAATTATATAACTAAAATGAGCAAATTAGTGTTGTTCGATATGATTTTTTTTTTTTTTTTGCCATGCTAGAGACTGAATCCAAGAACTTAGACTTGCTAGGCAAGTGCTCTACATCTAAGCTACAGCTCCAGACCTCTACATTATATCTCCATGAAACCAGTTAAAAGTATGCATTCCTCTGGGATGACACTGTAGAAAACGCAATGCTAGAGAACTAGAAACTAGATGAATGCACCTCTTCACAAATAAATAAAGCGAATGAAAAAGTTACGATGTAAGGAACAGCAAAGCAGCGCAGTCACTAAAGAAGCCTTTGGGAAGACGGTATTGTGAGAGGCTTAGAGCTGCTTTGTTTGCCAGATTTCTTGGTGCACACGGTATGTGGCCCAAGCCCATTTGCAGGGCTGGGGCACCTGCCTGGGGACAGCACCCTCCAGGTCCAGGACGCAGTGCTCACTTACTGTGGCGGTACCAGAGACGGTCTGTGCGCTTGTGTCCGCGGCACTCTGCTCCGAGTGCGTCTGTGCAGGAGGATACAGGTTTAACGTGTGCTCAGGGACGGTGGTCTGGCCGGTGTACTCTGGCGCAGGATGGGGATGAGGGGCCGTGTATTCCGCAGGGATGCCGTTCTGAGGCGGAGCGAACTGGGCTGAGGCATAAGGCTGAGCCATCGTGTCAGGGGCGGCTGCTGCTTCCTGATTACCCTGAAGAACCAAAAGAAGATGGAGAGAGAAGACCGTGAGCATGAGTGCAAAACAGAAGCTGTTTCCCTGAGCCCAGGGCCTCTGGTCCCAGCACACTTTGCAGGTACCAGCCCAAGGCCTCCAGCCCTAGATGGACTTGTCCCAGCCAAGCAAATGGCCATTATCATAACTCCAAATTTACATATGGAGAAATCGAGGGGCACAATAGCGAAGCCACTTCCCCCATGACATCTAGTCCAATAGCCTAACTCTAGGTGCACCCAACCTGTAAAGTCTCCTTGTTTCATCTCAATTTTGGAAGAGGTCACCATCAATTTGTGGTCACAATGGAGCCCCAAATTTGATACATACAGTGCTAAGAATGATAAATGTGTGAGTGTGTGTTTGGGAGAAGCATCTGAATTTAATCAAACTATTATTCAATTTAGAAGGGTCCTGGTAATGGCCCTACTGTTTTGTGTGTATGCATGTGTTTTTGGTGTGTGAAAATATGTGACAGTCCCCAAACTAACAAAGCAACCAATCAAAATTCAGATCTTAGTTTAGACAGAGCTCCCTCTGTGGTATTAACCCTTTTCAGACATTTTCTTCAAGACAATGGACTTTATTCCGAGCCTCATTGATCAATCTCGCTCCCTAAAATTCCTGTTCTATTTTCTTATAAGCACAGGACATTATATAACAATTCACCCTTCAGTTATAACCTAAACATGCAGTATGGTAATTACAGTCAAGTCAAAAGAATTTTAAAAACCCTGAATTCAAATGTTTCCATTTCAGGAAACATCTCCCTCCCTCCATCCCCACCCCCGTAACTCCACCACGCTTCACACATGCAGAAAGCTTAAGAAACAGTAGCCTGAGGTCCGAATTTTCCATGCTCTCAAGAGATGAAATAGTACAGTCAGAGAGTGAGAGAGAGGAAGGAAGGAAGGAAGGAAGGAAGGAAGGAAGGAAGGAAGGAAGGAAGGAAGGAAGGAAGGAAGGAAGGAAGGCAGGCAACTAAGCTCAATAAACACTTGAGTGACTTTAGCCTTCCTGAAAAGATTTGAGGGCACACATTTTAGGACTGCTCACATCTCGTCAGTGTGTGATGCTGATGCTGACACAGGACAACAGATTCTGCTATAGCAATTTGAGCAAGGTGCAAACACGACCAGTGCTTTTGTTTAGAGATGATCCTTAATTATGATATTGGAGAGACTTGGAAGAAAAGGAGACAGGGTAAGTTAAAGTCCTTGAATAAGTAAAAACATTCCCACCAATTCTTTCTTCTTCAAGAAAATTTCTCCACCTCCGTGCCCCTGGGTTTAAAAATGTGCACCTCCTTCATTTGCTTCTCAGCATCTTTTCTCGGGGCACTGGGACAGCAGCATTCTGTCATGGCTGAGGTTGGGTGCTACACAGGAGCAGTGAAGCCCAGCAGAGGACATTTGCTGTCTCTGCTCAGCTTACACTCTTGATTCTTCAAGGATAAGCCCCAGCTTCCTTTTGGGAGCATTCACACTCAGCCCATGGTGTGCAATGGTGGTATATACCCGACTTCTGGTGACTCTTTGTTACCACTAGATCTAGCCACGTGACACCAGCTGTCCATCAGAAGTTGCCACTGGCAGTTATCGTGGGGAAATGGGTCCATGACCATCGAGTTAGTAAACTCTTCAGTTTTAGGCTTCCTTCTTGTCACCCTGGGATATTGGTAGTATTTGCAATGAAGATTTCTTTACATTGTGTTTGGCAATTGTAGAAATACTACAAGCTTGGAGCTGCTGTGGCCAGCCACTTTAAGGAGACCCGTCAGCAGGTGAGGTCACCGGATGAAACAACGCCAAGGAACTGAGGAAAATAGATGAAACCAGCAATTTTTGAGGAGCCCATCCCAAGTCTGAATCTGTCTGCATGGGCAGTGAGAAGCAGCCCCACTTGCTTTCCTTAGAAAGGAGATACACATCCTCTTTTACAATAGCTTTGTTAAGCTATCAAGAACATAAAAGTGTATGTATTTAACATGGATAACTTGATGTTTTGATACATGTTAGCAATGAGAAAAGATCACCACATTCTAGCTAATTAGATTACCTATCCCTTCTAGGCAGTTACCATTTGAGCTTTTTTTTCCTAGGGCTATTAAAGGAATGTATGTTTGGGTGCAGAAATCTAATGGTGAAACTACTTCTTTATGGCTGACATAAAGGCCCCAAACATCGGGATCCTGAGGCCCTTCTTCCAAAGGAGAATTTACCTGAGCTGGTGCCCATCCAAACGAGCATTTCAGCCTCCACAACCTGACCCATCTATGAACTGACAGATAAGTCTGGAGAAAACTCTAGCATGGCCACAGAAAGGGGAATAAATGACCTAAGTATGACAGAGATGGTCACACAAAGGCCACAGTGTCCTTTTTCTTTACAAGAGCACATAGGACTAGCCGCTTGTCACTGAAATGCTGAGAACAGGCCCGCCCCTTAAGCTTAGACCATACAACCCGGGGCCCCTGCTAGGATCTGAGAACTCTTTATTGGGAAGAAGAGGGCCATGCCCGACCACAGTCCAGGGTCGGTTGAGGGAGAAGAAATGTGTCCTGTCAAAACCATTGAGTCTTCATACTCATGGTGCTTTCTCCTTACCTGGTACACTAGTCACTCTTCTTATTTCTAGAATCATATACCGGAGCAGTAGCAGCTTAAGGGAGAAGCGTTTGCTTTGGCTCGAGGTTTAGGGGATCGAGCTCATCATGGCAGGGGAGGAATGGCAACCGGGAGAGTTTCTCTGTCATGGCAACAGGAGTGTGAAATAGTTTGCTAGCATTTAAGCAAATGGGGAAACAGGAGATTCAAGAACCCAGGCCAGACTATAACATATAAAGCCTGCCTGCCTGCCTGCCTGCCTCCACCCCTTGCAGGAACCTATTTCCTGCATCTTGGTCCCACCCCATAGAGGTGCTATAGCCTGCCCAAATTGAGCCACCATCTGGGGGACCAAGTGTTCAAATATGTGAGACAGAGAGGACACTTCAGATTCCAACCACACCTAGTAAATACCACATTTTTCAGGTTCTAGACCTCCTTTCATCAGCCCCAGTCCTGCCTGAGGCCACAGAACAACTGACTCCTAGGACTGCTATTGGCTGCTTTATTTCGTTGTTAATTCCCTGAGGACACGAGGACACAGGAGACAATCACATTACATTCCCTGTCCAATCCCTGATCTCTAGTAACATGCTAGCTCCTAAGTGACATTTATAAACCAGTGCCAAATGAGGGGATGCTTGAAAAATTGAACTCCGGGCTCTCTAAAGCTTAATCTGGTAGTAAAAGATGAGGTGAGAGAAAGAGGAGAGGGCTTAGAAAACATATGGACCAAACCTGGCCCACTGCTTGCTTTAGTTAATAAAGTTTTATTGTGACACAGACCAATAAATGGACTCATTTGTTTACAAATTTTCTACAGCTGCTTCTCCACAACAAGGACAGAATTGGGCTGTTGTGACAAGAGACTGTATGGTCCTCAAAGCCTCAAGAATTTGCTCTCTGGATCTGTGCAGAAGTAGTTCTCTAGTGGCTGTGGCAGAATAGCATTAGATGTGGGAACACCAGCTACAGAGATGGCACTGCACACAGAGCTTGGGCAGGTTGTGAGGCCAGTAGTGATGTAGGAACAGGGAGGCATTCTAAGCCACAGAGGGGTGATCTTGGTTGGTCCTGTGCATTGGCACATTGGTAATAATGATGGTACAGCGAGTAAGTCAGAATCACTTCTAGGAATTATCTTTCCTTCACTGGATATCTGATTTGTAACCTTACATGGGCAGACACACATACACACAGGCACACACAGGCAGGCACACACACACACACACACACACACACACACAGACACATTCATTATATATATAGACAGCCCCTTCTATTCACTGGTGCTCAGAACACAAGTTAAGCAACATTGCCTTTCACTTCAGGCATGGTGGTTTATGTCAATTGTTCTTCAACAGGCAATGGATACTCCCAGGAGAGGCGAGGCAATGACTGAAGACATTTTTGGTTGTCAGGATTCAGTAAAGCTGTGTCCTAGCATCTCACTCTTGGGTACGTTCCATGCTGCCCAACATCCTGTGTATAACCAGTCCCTTTCCTCAAAGGACTATTTATGGGCCCCAAATGCTAAGAACACTGAGGTCTACATTTCCTGCTCTGTATGTACTAGACCTCTTAGACCGCTTAATTTCACAGATAAATATATTTCATCTCAGAATTGAGAAGGAAAATCATTCAAGATCGAGAGCACAGGTCATTTATAGGAAATCCAGGAGTTGAAAATCTTTTAGCTCCCATTTTGCAAGACAGCTGCTGGGGAGGTCAGTTTCTATCTGGGAAATAAACACACCGTCTCTGTTATATATGTATGATGCCCCCCAAAGTTATTTTTGCTCCTTCTTTGGGAAGGTCAGGTGTTGAGTATTTGAAGTAAAGATGCCTGCAATTCTATTTCCCAAATGCAGGATGTCACCTTGGCCACCTGGTGAAACAGCGGCATCAGTAACTTCTGCATCATGTCAAGTTTGAAGCCTGGCTTCATCTGCTGTGGAGTCCGCTGAACATGTCCAAGGACAGGCCAGGACCAGATAAAAGTGCCCTTGGAGCCAAAGCACCTGTGTCTCTCAAGACTTGTGCTACTCTGGGAGACACAGAGAGCCGAGCTCTAAGAACCAAGCAGTGGTAACCAAGCACCCAACAGTTGACATCCAGGTACATGCATAGGGCTCTTGGCTGCATCTGTACCTGAAGGTCTCAAACAGATGTTGGCAGGATCCCCTGCAGATACTTATTAACACCGACAGCCGCTCCAGAGAGACCCTAATTAATATTCCCAACATTTGCACTTTGGGCTAATTACAGGTAATATTTAATTAAGATCATTGTACTTCCTATGGAATTATTTTTCACCTTCAAATGACTTGAGGGATGCCTTTGTTCCCTCCCCAGTGATGCTCCTAGATTCCT